AACCTGCCAATCAGTGTCAACACTGATGAGGGGCAATGGCTGCCTCAAGTCCTCTTGGGAAATGAAGGCATGAATGAATGAGTACATGCATGGACGTGGTGAGACCTGTGTGATCATGAAGCCTTCAGCTGCCTCGCCCAGGGGAATCCCACATGGGACAGCTTTGGGACAGCCCTGTCCAGTGAATGGTGCTCAGAAAGCACAGGGATATCTTTCTGTCGGCGTGGGAGGCCTGGCTCCTCTGGGGACCAGACATCACCCCCAGATGCCTCAGACTGCTATCATTGAGGATGTGTCCTCCAAAGAAGCCCCCCCACTTTACTCCTGGGGCCTCACAGAAGCAGCCCAGACATTGTCAGCTCTACCCAGACCCCTCCTCCCCACCACACCCACATGGTTTGGATCCATCATCCACCTGAGACCGCTCCAAGAGCACAGGACTCAACACTGGGTGGCCTTGTGCTACTGAACTCGGCATGTGGGGAGCACCTACCTGCACAGCTGAGTGGGGCAGGGAGATAGGGCGGCCAGGTCACACACAACTGGTCTACGTGTTTCCCAGCACAGGACATGAAGCAAAAGGCCTGAGGATCTGGGGGCACAGCCTGTGCAGAGAGGCCAAATAAGCAGCAGACCAAGGCACAGCCTGAGACTCCAAAGCTGGCTCACTAGTGACTCCAAGGCTAGGCCCTCACAGGGTCCTGCCCTAGTTTTGGCTTTTGTTCCTGAGATGAACCACAAGAAAGAACTGAAGAGGTAGGCGTGGTGCCATGATTGTAATCCCAACACCTGGGAGGCTGAGACAGGAGGATTACTGCAAATTCAAGGCCAGCCTGAACTGCATAGCGAGATCCTATCTCAAAGAAAAAAAAAAAAAAAAAAAAAAAAAAAAAAAAATAAAAAAAAAAAAAAAAAAAAAAAAAAAAAAAAAGAAAAAAGAACTCAAGAGCCAGAGAACCATAGGGTTGGCAAGTCCAGACCCAGAGGAGAGAACAAACACATACGCAGGGTCTTTTCTTCAATGGTTAGAACCCAGAGTGCATTTAGCCTGAGACAAAGCATGTGAACTGCTGGGTGCACAAATAGGACTAAGCAGTTAAGCAAAGTCCTGGGGGCCACTAACCTCAGTCACAATTAGAGTCTCTCACCAGCCTGCAGCCCGGTCTCCTGTGGACCTCAGGAGTCGTCCATGCCTTCCGTAATGCCTCAATGGTGCTGACTACCAAGGGACCAGAAGAATCTGGCCCTCAGCAAAAGATCCCAGGGGCTGGGAAGCAGAAGGAACGACACCACTACGCTAGGAACACCCAGACTAATAGTGCATTACCAATGGGAAGCATTTACATGAAGTTCAGAGTCAGAGTAAAGTCTCCCAAGGGGCTGAGGGCCAGAGATGCTTACCTCTCAGGAGGGTGTGGTGGCACATGCCTGTCATCCCAGCATGTAGGAGGCTCAGGCACGAGATTGTGAGCTCAGTGTATGTGAACTACATAGAGAGCCTCTGTCTTCCCCCAAAAAGAGACATTCCCCTCTCTGTTGGAAGAAGCATGGTGGGCAGGTGCCTTCTGATCTCCATGCTGTATGGTGTGCTCGTTTTGCAGTAATCCATCAAGTTCTACACTAGTGATGTGGGATTGCATCAATGCATCAATAAAATGATTGTGGATTGTTTTAGTTTTTTGAGACTGGGTCTCACCATGTAGTTCAGGCTGACCTTGAACTCACTATGTAGCCCTGGCTGGCCTTGAACTCGTGGAAATGCTTCTGCCTCAGCCTCCCAAGTGCTGGGATTACAAGTGTGCACTACCACGCCTAGCCAAAATGATTTTTTTGAAGAATCACTTTCTTTATAGATAGAAAATGGCTCATACTTCTTGCTGCCTGCTCAGTGAATTATGTACATGGGGCTAGAGACTTGAAAAAGAAAAACAAAAAAACCTGAAAACCAAGACCCATAAGCCCATTTTCTTACTTTAGATGGCTTTTCAGGGTTTTCAGAGCCAGTGAGAGGTTCCCTCGGGCAGAAATTCATTGAGTTTCAGGGCCCAGTGTGGCCTCTCTGCACATGGCCAATCTCCGGATGGAATGAATTCTGCCAGGCCCACAGGGAGAAGGACAAGTAACCCTCAGGCCTCCCAGATCTGATGCAGAGGACAGGGACCAGGGAACACAGGAAAGCTAAGGAACTTCCTCCAAGTGACACAAGGAGCTGCCGGTGGGGGCTGCGGGAGTTAGTCCAAGGACTATTGCTTTTCTACTGCACCTTGTTCTGCTGGAGACAAGTGAGAAATGGTCTCCTTTGGGGAACTGAGAAAAATGAGCTAAGAGAGCCTGGCTGGTCATTCTTTACATGTAGAGTACACAAAGGAGTTTACTGAGTTCCCTCCAACAGGAAACCATTTGTCTTGGGGTGGTGGGGGAGAGGAGGAAGGGGAGGAGAGAAGTGCTGAGTTGGCAACTAGGCACTGTTTTTGCGCAGAGGATGTTCCCCTAATCAAAACACAGTTGCAGAGATGGATGCACTCCACTTGAGAAAAAGGAAAAGTTGTTTAAACACTAAAAATGGACAGCACAGCTCTGATTAATTTTTAAGTTTTTTTCTCCACTTTCTTTTTTAGAATGCAGCTAAAAATATAGACTTGAAGCATAAAATACTGCAAGCAAGTGATCTCACACACACACACACACACACACACACACACACACACACACACACGCTGGACCTTTCCCATATATGGCCACATTATTCTTCGTCTTTGAAAAGACCAAATGAAGAGATTGCCAACAACCAAAATAATCCTTCAGTCAGCTGAAAAGGAGGAGAGGGAACTGGAAGGGCTGCTGGGTGACAAACAATCGCCAGGCTCAATGGGGATCGGTCACACGAGAGGGATTAGTTGCCATAGCACTTGGAAAACATGGGCACATGCATTTTGACACCGGCCCCTTCTCTAAAGAGACGGTTCTGCCCTCTGGCCTCGGCACTGAGAAAACTACAACTGCAGTAATTGAACATAAAGGGCTTGAAGAAGGAAACCAGAGCGGGGCATGACTGAAAATTTAATTAAGGCCCTTCTCAGAATAAATCTGAAAAGGAGATGAGGGTGCTGGGCAAGGTCAGACGGGCGGGGCAGGCAGCTGGAGGCAGCGCCCAGCAATGCCATCACAGGCCCTGTAGGCAACATGAGAGCCACCTCGCGAGAGCTGGGGAAGTCACATTCCCCAAGACTCTGGTCACAGCCCATGTCAGATGGGTTCCTGGACATAGGCTGAGCACTTGCTTTGACTGATACAGACAGGGAGCACGGAGAGGTGAGGGGCCCAATGCCAGGTGTGTGATGGGAGGCACAGGGACCAGGGGCTTAAGTGAGGTGTCAGGGACAGCACTGGTGGGAGGGCAGGCGTGAGAGTGGACAGTAGCCACCAACCCTCTCTACAACCTGCTTGGGTCATTTTCCCTCCTCAACTGTAAAAGGACAGGGCTGGCCTAGACAGGAACAGGAGTGGGGAGGCGGATGGAATGGGTGGCTACAGTGGGGCACAACTCAGGGTAGAGCACACGCTTAGCAAGTACCATCATCAAAACAGAACCAAAAGCTGACAAGCACAGCCACTGCCACTCTGAAGGGGGCTCAAACTCAGCATAGAAGAACCGAGTGCTGACTTCCAAGAGGTCAGACCGGAACTCTTTTCCCTCCAAAACACCTAGTGATACACACTCGTGAAGAGGCAACTCAGGACTCAGAGTTTATCCATCTGCTTTTTCAGGGTCACTCCCTGAGGGACGGAACTTCCATAGGATGCTTCGGGTTCTTTCTAAAAGGACACCCTGCTTTTGGGGATGAAACACCTTCCTGATGGCTTTCCCATTCTATCTGGATAGAGAGTTAAGAATAACAACAAACAGCAGTGACAAGAGCAGCAGGTGTCACTCCCCAGGATCCTCACACTGCTGTCCTAACCAGCTGCTAGGCTACCAGGGGAGGTCCATCTTGTTTACAGAAGGGACTAAGGCTGGGGAGAAGTCCTGTGCCCTGTTTGGAAGGCTACCTTAGTGCTCAGCGGCCTGGGATTTCAGCCACTGTCCAGCTGATTGCAAAGCCCACCTTTCCTTTTCTATTGGGTCAGCAGGTGGAATATATCAAAGATCCGGCTATGCTGCTGGGTCCTGATGTCTCCCCACAGGATCCCCAGAAAGGACATGTAGCAGATTGACTAATGGTCAACTTGTAATGCCCAGCTGAACTGAATCAGAGTGGTCTGGGCGTGAAGGATCCACCTGAAGTGTGTTACCAATAGCCATAAAAAGAGGACTGGAGGGGAAGATCTTGGCCTGTTGATTTTCTAGGAAAAGCTTGCCATGGATGGTTTTCCTGATGTGAACTCCTCATTAGAGGAGGAGCACAGGGCCTCTCTGTCACTGGGAATGGCTGCTGCTTTCATCAGGGGAGCTTTGATCTTTACCAGTGAGCATCAGTTCCTCACCTTGGTGGCACAAATCGTTCATCTCACTGGCGTAGGTTTTCTGGCTTCCACCACTGGCCTTTGGGCCTTCCAGATGCAGATCTTCAATACGGACAAGCATGAGACATTGCTGTAGGCTCTAGGCCACTGGCTGGTCTCAAGGAGGACATTGCCTTGGACTCTAAGCCTTTAGCTGGACTTGTGTGGGAAACTGCTGGGATCCAGGCCCTCAGTTGAATGTTTCAGGCTTCTAGTGTGCAGTTAATCTCTTGCACTCCTTTGCAATTGACTCTTTGGGTAATTATCATAAAATAACCTTATACGTTAAGTGTCCTGTATTTATACGTTATGTGTCCTCGCCCAATACTACTGACTCCACCAGACACCTTCCAGGCAGTCACCAGGACTCCCTCTGAAATCCTAGCTGCATGGTGAGTGGCTGCAAGGATGGGACAGTGAAGAGACCCCATGTATCCCCCGACCCCGCATGCAGGCAGAGGGTCCAGCACAGTCCTGCCTTCACTCACATCACTGACCTGGTGGGGCACAAGCCCCAGCGAAGTGGGAGGCTCATTCATGCGGTCCTCACTGCTGCTGGCAATGGCATAGCCCCTGGGGAGAGGAAATAGTTGAGCTGCTCAGTGAATCGGCTTAGGGGATGAGTGAACAAGGGCAATATGGAAAGTGTCTACTGAGACTTGGAGGACCACAGTGGCCCTGGGCAGACAGCAGGCCCTAGTGAAACACTCCTGTCTTTGGAGGGAAGGAAAAGTGTCATTAAAAACAAAACAAAACGAAACACTGATGGCTTAGAGTTAGAAACCAGTGTGACCATTGGCAAGTTGCTTAAGCTCTATGGACTTCAGGTCCCTCACCTACAAAACAGGGATAAGGAAAGCTTCCAATGGTGCTGCACACCTGTAATCCCAGCACTCAGGAGGTTAAGCAAGAGGACCAGTGTGAATCAGCCTCCCAAGTGGCTACTGTGCCCAGCTTGAGAGAATAAATATTAAGTGGATATTAACTGGCTATGTGTGCATGGAGGTATAGCTCAGTGGTAAAGCACTTGCCTAGCATGTGTGAGGCCCTGGGTTTAATCCCCAGTAGGGAAAAAAGGTGGAGGTGACATGTGATTATATTAAAAAATTGCCTTCAACTTGTTTTTTACATAAGATTGTAGAGATAAACAGAAAAATACACATTTTATGAATGAAATGCTATGTCTTGGGCTTGCTTTTTAAAAAGCTAGCAGGAGCCAGGTGTGGTGGTACACGCCTGTAATCCCAGCACTCCGGGAGGCTGAGACAGGAGGGTCTCTGTGAATTTAAGACCAGCCTGGCTTACATAGTGAGACCCTGTCTTAAAAAAAAAAAAAAGCCAGCAGGAAATGAAAAATAAGTGGTCAGGTTCATAGATAAAACTTAGTGGTGAATATCAGGGGGATATATATATATATATAATATACATGAAATATATATAAAATATATATGAAAGAATATATGATATATATAAAAGAACATATATATATATATATATATATATATTTCTCACACATTTTTTTAATTTTCCATAATTAAAAGTTTTGTTGTTTTGAAAAAAAATGGTTATACGAGAAAGTAATACACAACCAAAAGCCAAGAAAAACTACAAACAGGAATAGACCCTAGCAAACCCAGAGAGTGAAGATACCTGCTAGGCACTTAAAGGAGAACATCCAAGTTTTCATGGAAACAGAAAGATCAAAATCACACTTTAGCAGAAAATGGAAATGGATAAAATAAGATGAAATGGCAATTCTATACCTGAATCATATAATAATGATATTAAAAATGCAACAGATGGTTTTAACACATATCAGACACAAAGAAGAGAAAATCAGCAACTGGAAGATAAGCCAAGAGCAAATCACCAGACTGAAACAAGGAAAGACAAATGTCTGAAAACAGAGAAAAGAGCATGAAAGACACATGGGTTGGTTTTGACTGATGTGTAACTGCAGCCCCAGATGGAACAAAGCAGGAGCACCTGGGCCTCAAGCAATATTTCCAGAGATAAAGGCCAAGTTTTCCACAGTGAATGACACACATCCAGCCGAAGACTCCAGAAGCACTAGAAAGTTCCACCGAAATGAGCAGAATCACAAAGGCACAGGAGGCCACGTTTGTGAAAAGCAGACGATAGGCTCATGGTCAAAGCTGTGGAGGGAGGGAGGGCAGGCAGAAGGGAGAAAAGCAATCATTGAGAGAGGCAGCAAGGTGGCAAGCAGCCTACCCCACCCAGACTACAGTGGGCAGACTCAGACTGGGCTCGTCCAGGGGAGAGAAGATGAGTTTCATCCAGCGCCACTGAATCTCAAGCCGGAAGCAGGAAGATGTTTTCAGATACACACACTGACACATATCCGTCCCTGGTAACCCTGAAACAAACACTAAAGGATATTTATTCTGCGGGCAGGAGAATGCCCTAGGTTAAGCTTGAAGATATAGAAAGAAACAAGAAATAAAAATGAAAAATGTTAGCAAAACAAAATCAGTACCAACTATGTAACAATAACAAAATATTCTGGGGTTTAAAATATAAAGTTTTTGTTTGTTTGTTTGTTTTGGTGTTACTAAGGACTGAACCCAGACCTATGCAATGAGCTGCACCCTCTTTCTGAAATAGGATCTCACTAAAGCACTAAGTTGTTCAGGTTGGGTTGGAGCTTATGATCCTCCTGCCTCACATTCCCAGAGTGCTGGGAATATGAGAGTATGCTACCAACCTGGCTAAAATATAAATAATTTTAAAAAATAAATGTGAAGATACTGCTGGTTATCTACCCAACATCCATTACCATCTTTTACATTCTCACAACTTGATTTAGAGAGGCAATGTGTTCAGCCAAGAAACTACATTGGCCATAATTCCTTGCAACTAGGAGTTACTGGAGGCACAGCAGGCATCCTGTGACCACAGGATGACAAACATAAGGAAGATAGCTATGTAGGCAGGGTGGCACACAGCACAGGCGGTGGTATGCACTCAGGAAGCTGAGGTAGGAAGACTGATGCAAGTTTAGGGCCTTCTTCAGGTACAGCATGAGGTCAAGACCAGCATGAACTTCATAGTGAAATGGGGGGGGGGGGGAAGGAAGGAAGGAGAGAGAGAGAGTGAGAGAGAGAGGAGAGAGAGCAAGAGCACGCGCTAAGAGTACAGGAAGGAACCAGAGGCCCCGAAGGCACAATGGACCCTTTGTGACTTCCCTGGACTGCTGACCTCTGAACTTCTTGCTGCATGAGAAAGATAAAGCCTCGTTCAGCTGATTCATGAATGCAGACCTCTGTCCCACGCAGCTGAACACAGTTTCTAACACGTGATTCCGTGTACTGCCTAACAGATGTTCAGGGCTTAAAAAATCAAAACTTACTGATGGAATACAAGCATGCAAGTCCTAAGGCTTTTACAAAAACTTAAATTGTTCAGATGATAAGTGGCGGAATAATTCAAAGAATTCAAGTCCAGAAGGATGTAGGAATATAGCCTCAAAGGACACAAGTCAAGCTCTCTAAGGCCAAAGACTGAACCAGTTTGTTTTGTTTTGGGCTTGTTTTTTGGAAAGAGCAATCCAATTTTCAGAAGGCTCAGACTGAGAAAAGGCTGAGGGAACACTGATGAGCCACTGCTGGCAAAGCAGACTCACCCCTCTGGGTGCTGCAGGACAGAAGCCATCAGCTCCACCGCCAGGGCTCCTGCGATCATGGCCAGGCCCGGACGGCTCACGGTGCACTGCTGGTCCAAGGTCCGGTCCCGCGTTGACTGCAGAGAGCAAGCACGGATGTGTGTGCTCAGAGCTGCCATGCTCTCAACACTCGCTGTCACCACAACCAGATGCTCCCCAGTGGCCATGAACATCCAGCCTCAAATAGCTTCACCAAGATAAACATGACATTAAATGACATAATATACCAACAAGGATTGGCAACTAAACCTTCAGAGCCTGGGAGTTTTCAGCCAATAGTGAGTGGTGGGAGCCATTATACATAATTTTAGGGAAAAATCACTTCACAACTAAATTATGATTAGGGCTGTCTGAGGCCTCAATTGTCCTGTGGTGCTGTGACTCTCAAGGGCAAGATTACATCAGCTGAAGACATCCTGGTTCTTTGAGAAAAGAATAGTAATACAAAAAGAAAAAGGTTTCACCTGGGAAGGGACAAATTCCTTATCAACTTTTGAGAAAAGAATAGTAATACAAAAAGAAAAAGGTTTCACCTGGGAAGGGACAAATTCCTTATCATCCCACCAACTCATCCCACCAACTCTTGTGAGAATGAGAACATCTCACCATCCTAATCAACTTAAACTCCTCATAGACCTAAGATCCTCATCATCATAGGGTTACTGCCACCCTCCAAGACATCTGACATTCCTCTGATTATAAGATCCTTGTCAATTTAGGATTATCACCACCCTCTGAGTCACCTGATACTCCCTACAAAACCAATAAATAGTGACAAGCTTGGGGTACCTTTGTCTTCGCTGCCCAGAGCAGCACCGATCAGGCCCCTAACCCAGCTTCTTCTCTAAGCCTTGTTTATCTTTTTCTAATTATTTTTGTGTTGTAGTGGCTCACAGGAGACCAAGACCCGTTGCAGGGCTTCTGGCAACGTCCCCTTTCCCATTCCCTGTAAGCAACACATCCCTAGCTCACAAGAACTGCAGCATGCACCCCTGTAACTGACTCAATTCAACTCACTTGTCTTGGGAGCCAGGAGGTGGAGAGAGAGGAACAATTATTTGAACAGATTCTGCCTCCATTGTGCTGAGGTCCCTGGGATTCGGGCACTAATTTGCCATGCTGCAGTCTCAGTCCCTCTGTGTCTCTCATACCTGTGTGTGGCCCAGGGCTCAACTGCAAGCTTCTTCCTGGCCCCAATCACAAGCCTACACTGAAACAAAGCCACAGAAACTCATCCTTCAGACTCCAGACACATCAAGGGATTACTGAGGCATTCTGACTGAGAATTTCGCTACATAAACCAGCAAGACTTTCCTGTAGTGGATCCTAAATCTGACTTGTCAGCAGTAACTAATAACAGGACCAGCCATGTATTCCAGCACCACAGTGGACATCCGGCCTCACATAGGAAAGGCCTTCTTTCCTTAACATGGGGAGGTCACAAGGGCTGGTCACCCAAAGAAGGTCTGAGTTATTAAGCAAAAGTTCTAAAAGAAGGGGAGAAGACAGGAAAGGGGACAGAAGACATCTCTGCATGGGTTCCCAGAGAGCTATGATCTGGGCTAGTAACAGACCATTCCCACACACTGCCTGGTGGCGGGGGTAACATAGGGGCTGAGCGCTAAGGCCACTCAGAATACGCCCACACCTGACCTGTTCTGCACTGCAAGCTGACAGGGCTAGACTTCATCCCTGTTCTACTAGGCTGCCATAAAAGTCCAAAAGATACAGTGAATCTGAATTTCAGACAAACAACAAATAAAATGTTTAGCATAAGTAGTCTCAAATATTGCTTGGGACATACTTATACTAAAATAATTCATTCTATACCTGAACTTCAAAGTTACCTGGCAATCCTATATTGTCACTTGTTAAATATGACCAGCCCATGTCCCACTCTCGTGCTGCAGATGGAGCCTAAGGGATTTATTCAGGATCAGTGTGAGGAAGGGTTGAGTCTGGCCAGAAGCTGGTCTCTGGGCTGGCTCGTCTAGGTAGCTTTTACTAAGGTATGCACAGGGCACAGGCAGGGGGAGGTCAGGAACCAGCCCACACTGTAGTTTCCTCTTTGAGTGGCCCTTACCAGAGCTGAGGCTGTGTTTATGTTGGTGAACAAGGAAAAGCTGCAGAGCTAGGGATGCAGATCAAGGCTCCTGCGGGATAATGCCATTCCCCCAACACTAGAGAGTTCCTCTGTTAAGAGACAATATTTAGGGCTGGGGATTTAGCTCAATGGTTCCACTGCCTGCCTTGCAAGAGCAAGGGCCCCCGAGTTGGATCCCTGGTACAACCCCACAAAAGACAATACTTAAAGAGAAATGGAAGTGCTGAGTCTCTGCTCCCAGGGCCTGACAGAGTTACAGCAAGTATCTGAAATCACAGAGAAATCCACTTACATCTCCGGGAGCCACAACGTCATTGCAGAAATAGCAGCCAAGTTTGTAACCAGGGATGTTGGCAAAAAGTGACGAACCCAGAAGGTCAGCAGATGTTACAGGGTGGCTTGGACACACATCCCCAGATCCTTGTTGCTTTGGTTTCTTCAGGCCATGTCTCATGACAACAAACGTGTCAAACCCCAGGGCAGCGTTGATGACCAACTGCACATTTCAAGGATGAAGAGAGTTAAGAGAAGCACATTTCAAGTCATGGTTAATTTCACATTCTGCTAGTTTTTAAAATTGATTTTTTGCATATGAGTGTAATGAGACTGTAATAGCTAATAATGGTAAAAATTCCTGAGTATACAGGGCTGCTTAAGTGCAAAAGACGTGACAAGAGTAACACAATGACCTCATTTACTTTCATTTAATGCCCTACAAACACTTCCCATTCATGAGGAGGATGCAGAGGGGCAGAAGGGTTAGTTCTCTGAGTGGCCCAGGGTCAGTGGGCTGTCCGAAGTCGTAACAAAGCTGTGGTCACAAGTTCTCAGACCCACTCTTCCCACCACTGCGTAAGACTCTCTGGTATCCATATATCTTTATTTTTAAGGACATTCTTTTTCATCTATACTGCAAGAACTTTTTCTTAGTTGTAAGTTGTTATTTTCCCAAACTTCTCTCTTTTTTTTTTAAGGTACCAGGGATTGAACCCGGACCTTGCGCTGACAAGGCAGACAGTGGAACCACTGAGCTAAATTCCTAGCCCCCCAAACTTCTGAACATACAGAAAGCTTGAAAAATGAAGAAAAGCCATGCTGGAAGAGACAGTTTCAGGCATTTCTTCCTACTATTTTCTCCATTTTAATCACATTTCCTTCTGTTTTTCCTTTGTTCTTGCCCTCCTTCTTAGCCCTTCTGAGTGGATGGAGGATGGGTAGACAGATGGAGGCCGATGAATAAATGTTCAGATATAATATACACTGTAGTTTCTTACATAATAGTATTTTTCCTTATTACTAAATTCTCTGAAATACATGGATGTGAATGGATGTATACTATTTCATCATGGGTGTGGGCTTGGTTTAGTTAACTATTCAATACTGCTGCCCCTTGAAGTGGTCACTGATAAATAGCAGTCCTTCATAGGATGGTAAGGAAGATTCAACAGTGATGAGAACTGTTCTACTGGTGACCTGGGCAAAAAAACAGAGTCTGCAGAGGAAGCCCTCTGGCACCATGCTGTAGGCCACACAAGTCATCCCACTTTGCCTCTGGACTGTGAGGCCACAATTAGAGGCTGGTGCCCCGTTCCATGAACTACCTTTCTCTTGCTGGCAGCTATGACGGTGGGAAGCCAGCGGCTCTCCCGGGTGTCCATTAGCAGGAAGATGACATCATGGCTTTCGATGAGCCGCTCCAGCTGCTCCACGTCCCTGCAGGCTTGCTCCAGGGTGATGCTCGAGAAGTTCACGGGGTGCCCGGGCATGGGAATGCTCATGTTGAACCCCCTGGCATTCTGGGGAGACACCAGGATGGAGTTACCTCTGGAGCACAGGCCAAATCAGCAAGTCAGTATTGTCTAATCCTCCCCAGATGGCAGGAAGGCGTTACCAGGGTGTGGTATAACTTAGCTCAAGTGAAGCACACAAATGTCGCATGAATGGTTCACTGTGCCTGTGGACCTGATACAGGATTTCCTCATGGCCCAAGAGTACTCTTGTACCCGTTCCCCACGACCACTACTCTGGCTTTATGAACCACACACCAGCTATGCCCATTCTGGAGCCTCAGTTAAATGATACCCTCCCACAGGCATTTATTTACACAGTATCCCACTGGTGTCAGCAGCAGCCCCTTTCCATCCTCATGACTACAGCAGGATGGGTTTATTCATTCTACTCCTGAGAAATAGGGTCATTTCTAGATGCTGGCTATTAGGAAAAAAGTGGCAGTGGGCATTTTCATGTATGTATTTCAGTGTATCTGTGTACATTTCTCTAAGGTAAACATCTAAGAGTGCCATCTTTTGTGTCAAAAGCTAAGTGTGTATTTCATTTCCTGTGGTTATTATCAACAAAGGATAAAAGGGATGGTTGCTCCAGGGCCTGACAGCATTTAGCATGGTTCGTTTAGCGGATGCACAGTGATGTACCTATGGTTTCAATTCTTACTTCCCTGATGACTGTTTTGTTTTTCTTCACTACATAGTTCAGGCTGGCCTTGAATTCATAGCCCAGGCTGACCCCAAACTTGAGGCAACCCTCCTGCCCAAGTGCTGGGATGATAGGTGTGTGCCACCTTGCCTGGCTCCCCTGTTGACGGCTGATGTTAAGCACTTCGTGTGTTCACAGATCTTCACTATGAGATACTTGTCAATGCATTTTGGTCCCCTTAAAAAAAAAAAATCGCAAAAGCTGATGTGTCTTTTTATTATCAGGTGGTATGAATTGTTCATTTGCCCTGGGTGAAAGTTGCCTGCCAATGTGAATGTGTGCTGTTTCCTCGGTTTGGTCAGCTTTTTCACTTTCTTAGTGGCATCTGCTGAGAAGCACAAGTTTAAAACTTGAATGAAGCCCAGGTTATCAAACTTTTCACTGAGAGTCATCTTTGTAGGGTTAGGAAGAAACCTTCTCCTAGAAGCACTATAATTTGAGCTTCTATATACAGTTCTTCAGCCTTTCTGGGCTGCCATTTAGGACTCTGCTTTGGATAACTGGTCACCACTCGGGAACCTTCACTCTGCCCCCAGCTCCCAGAAGGGGGGTCCTGCCCTGCCTGAGCATGCAGTGACTCTAGCCAGATGCTCTGATGCAGCTGGGCAGGTCTCTGGGACCCCTTCTCTGCAGCACCTCCTCATGACTGCCGCTGTCCTGCAAATCTCAGCTACTTCCTCTGTTCTCTGGGGGATAGCTGGGCAGGACTGGCAAGGGCCAGAAAGTGCCACCAGGCAATCAGCTGGAACACTCTTGTTCCCTCTGACGGGACAACAGTCTTTCATGGCCCACTCTTCATTGTTTCCAGAGTCATTCCAGGTCCTATGCCCCAGTGCATGACTGTTAGGGTGGGAGAGAGTCCAGCATCAGCTGCTCATCAGGGTTGGTCGCAGATGTCCAGAGGCTGGGCTTCAAACCCTCAACTGTGGGTCAGGGGCTGTGCTCAGTATGCACCTAGCAGGAACAACGCCCCGAGTTCTACCTCTGGCACCATTTAAAAAGACCTCAAATAAACAAAACACTCCCAACTATAGTTCCAAAAATCTAAATTTTATTGCTTCCCCTTAAAAAAAAAAAAGGTAATCTCAAGTAATTATTGGACTATAAAAGATGAGTTGTTTTCTTATTCAATTAATTCAACCCCAGGATTAGGCATGCCATTTACAACCCAGCAGTGCTTTCCAAGTTATTTTATCATAGCATTTAAAGGCATCTGGAAAGGGTCAAGGAGACTCCTGTCTCTAGGAGTGGAAGAGGAGGGATTTTCAAGGAAAATCATGCAGATAAAAATCAAGAGTTTCCTGTAACCTGGCCAACCTTTTATACATGCCCAGAGAGACTAAGCTCCTTGGGACAGCCTGAAGGTCTGGAACCACAAAGAGGTTAGTTTGGTCAAGAATATTTTAGTACAAAAACCAAAAGTCTTGCTATGAGAGTGATAAAGGCTACCTGGCTCAGCTATTCAACGAAATCACCTGCCCCCAAAGTCTGTCACCCAAGGCATGACTTCCTGGTACATTTCCTTATAGTTTCGTGTGAATGTATTATTTCAAAATTAAAAATGAAAAAACATCTACCCCCATTAACCCCCCCATTAGATGTCATAGGCTTCAAGCACTGAGATTAGAATTCTGCAATAACTGAATAAGTGAGATGGTTCGAGTCACATAATACTGCATTAAAAGAACCCACCTCCGCCTTTCCCAGGTGCTGGAGACCCCAGAAGTCTGCACATCACACATCTCTGCTTCCACTCTTCTTGCTGGAGTGCTCTTCCTGGCCTCAGGCCTTTCCCTCACCTCTGCCCTTCCCACGCTTTCCCCAAATCCCTCTTCTTTGTTAATTCCTTCACAGAGGAGGCTTCCTTACAAGAGCCTGGCCTGGCCCCTCAAACATGCCCCAGGCACTTTACTCTGTATTTCCCTAGCACCTTCTACTAATTCCTATCCGAATTAAATATCAGGTCCTCAGCATGTTTGTCTTCCAAAGGAATCTAAACTCTCTGAGGGCAGGGTCTTCTCTCCACTCCTGGAGTGAGAAGGGGAGAAAAGGATGTCTGCTGAATGAAGAAAGCCATGTTAAATCAAGAGTGTGAAGAAAATCTCTCAGGCCTGGCTAAGCAATAAGTAGTTTCACAAGTGTTCTTGCATTTGATGAATTATACTAGCACTTTGTACACAGCTATTCTATTTATAAGGTATGAGGGATAAAAGATAAGAGACGAGCTGGTCTCCAGGACTAAATACTAATAGGGAACACAGCTGCCCAGTGGCCTGAGTCACCCAAGGGGCTGACTCTTTCTAAGAAAGTTGGACTTGCTCTCTAAAGCCTGGCACAATCTGGTCCTCACTTCCACCGCAGCCTCCTTTCATCTTCCTAGACCTCTCTGCTTCAGCCACCATGGCTTTCTTTTTTCTCTTTGTTTCTTTTTGACATGGCTGTGACTTCCTCTATTTGTCTTGGAGATTTTTCCAAAACAGGGTCCTGGGATGTTGCAAGGGCTAGCCTCAAACAGGATCCTCCTCACAGCCTCTGAGGGCTGTGATATAGGCATGTGGACTTCAGGGTTTTCTTTCACATCCAACAGCACCATGCCCTCTCCTCGGGTGTCAGCACCAACAGCTTTGGCTACTCAGTCCAGCGGCTCCCACTCACTGGCAGCCTTCAGTTCCCTTGGACAGCCCTGCGATTCTACTGTCCACCCGGGCTGCCTCAAGCTGATTTCAGACACAGGCTCATGGCAACTGAGCTCTTGAATCACATGCCTACCAAAATTGAACACGCTTGAAAAATTACCTGTCAGTGACACCCACCTCCTTAAGTGTAAGCCCCCTGTGGGGAAGTGGGAGCGGTGTCCTTGGTACAGAGTAGGCCTTAACTACATAAAAGCTGAGTGAATTACACTGGGCCACAGCCAATGGCCAGGGCCTGGGAAAACAAATATTCAGGCAACTTCTAAGTGGCAGACCTCAGGTTCCGAGCCAAGTTTGGTGGGACCCCAGGAGAGTTCATCATATCCCCTCCTGCCTCTAGCAGAATTGCACATCCACTCCCTCTGCCAAGTGGCTTCTCCAGACCCCCACTGGGAAGGCAGTGTCTACTGCCCATCCCATTTGCTCAGGCTCAGCCTGTGCCTTGCTCTGGTGATGGGCAGCAAGAGTATTGTACTGTGCTATGGCTGAGCTGGCATCATAAGGGGCATGGGTAATGCCTACACTTTTTAGCTTTCCACTATCTACCATCACAGCCATAAGAACAGGAAGAGCAGGTGACTCCACTTCGAAATAATAACACCCAAATAAACCGGAAGTAGACTTAAAGCCGCAGCCTGGCATTGCCCAGTAGCAGACCCACAGCCAGCCTACACACCCCTGAGCACAGAGTACTGGTGTGTCACCACAGGCATGGAGAGCTAGAGTTGTGTGAGGCGTGATATTGTGACAACAGAGTCCTCTGGATGGTGGGGCCGTGCCTTCTGTTCTTTTGACAGCGAGCATGTAGCTGGGTATGTAGCGGATATTAGATCAATACAAATGAACCCAGTAAGTAATGTCCCTCAGGGATATGGGCGAAATGAACAAAACCATGAACACTACTCCAGAGCAAACATTCCCAAAATGGATGGCTAAAGGGAGAGACTTCAAGGTGGCCAGTATCTCTGTGAGGGCTCAGAGCTTCTCTAGCATTTAAGTCTAAGCAGTTACTTCAAAGAAACCTAATCTGGCTCCTGTCAAATAGGTCAGTTAAGTATCTGAGATGTAGAATCTCTTCTCCTGGATGTCCTCAAAAAATTCTCAAGATTTTGAGTCAAATGAGGTGAACAACTTGTCTGATTATCTGGCGTAGCTAGCAAATAATGGAGCTCAAAAATAAGAAGCAGCTAAAGCAAAAAATTCAACTTTCACCCAATTGCTCTACTCGCAGTCCTGCATTACTCAATTTAACTCCATCAGTAATTCTCTGGAGGTCTGAGGATGGACGAAAGATAATATCCTACATCAGAGCCACCATAAGTCCCTTCACAGCCAGGCAGGATATGAAAATACATATCCTCCCAATTCCCCAATTTAAACTTGTGTAATGCTTGGTAACTCACAAAACATTATTTCATATATTTTTTCATGTAGTTTTCACCATATGTATATATATGTATATTGTAACTAATCTTTTGTGGGGAAAGGGTTTGGTTTGGCACTGGGGATGGAACTCGGGGCCTCACGAATGCCAGGCAAGTGCTCACCACTGAGCCACACTCCTAGCTCTTATTGTAGTTTTTATCCCTGAGAGGAGAAAACAGGCATGGCTGCATGGTGAGTGTCTGGAAGGAATTCTCTCACCAATACCAGAAGGCCACCTTCTCCAAGACTGAGGCATCTGTGGACATAGGAAGCCACCATGATGCTCCTGGAGGCGCCTGCCTACGTACCACTCCGGGGAAGATTCTCTGTAGCCGGTCTGCTGCCGCCAGGGCCTTGGGCTTGCCGCCCCCCAGGCAGTCTTCAAACTCATAGAGCGGCTGCCTTACGGGGTTGGAGTAGGAGATCTTGGCGTTGTCCACGAATGTGACATGCCTGACACCCCAGCCCTGTGTGGAGACAGAAGTGCATGTGCGTCACCAACAGACACTTCAAAGGTGCCCCCCCCCGGGTACTCTGAAGGAGTTTTACTCCCAAGCAGCTTGGAAGCTTTGAGATACAGAAAGCTTTAGAAATCGAGTTGCGCAAGCTCAGTTCTTGATAAACAGACTGTCATCTCACTTTAAAAAGACAAAATAATGACATGCTCAGTGCCTGGATTCCTACAGTAATGAGATCAAGAAATGTCACAGTGGGTCTAATTAATAGCTCATTATTTTTGATAATGTGACACCAGAAAAAGATATGCAAGTGAGTCCCATAAGAAATCTCTATTTGCTGCTTCAAAAGGATTTAGTGAAAGCCCCCAAACATTGTTTTTTCCCTTAATGAATAGTTAACTATTAACAACTCCTTGCAAAACTCATTTAAGGCCTCAACTCTTCAAAAAATGATTCACAAGTCATTTCTCACTCTGTAGTAATAAGGTATCTTTTATATTATTTCTCCAAGAGGGAAAGACCCTTTAATAAGTGGGCATTTACGGAATGATTCTATGTTCTCCTAAATAGTTCTCATTATGTTAGACACTTCAATTTCATCTATAAAGTTTCATAAAAACACGATTTTGAGACACACAAGCTTAAATGCCATATGGTATCTCTCATCTGAGTGAGGCATAGTATAAATAAAGAAAATGCTATAGGACTGATAGCAAGGGACAAGAGAACATATCTGTTCCAAGTGAGAAGCGATCCAAGGGACAGACTAGGGTGAGGGGTGAAGAGGAAGAGAAAGGGAAACAAGAATGAAGATGTGCCATGTACCAGAACCTAATAACCTCAATTAACATAAACACTATGTGCCAAAACATGAGCGGAGACAAATGGTATCAATGAACATGAAAAAGGGGATAGGGGACTCATGGGGGAGGGGGAGGGGGAGGGGAGAGGTAGGGGTGGAGGAACAAGCTGTAATATGCACATATAACCACTCCCAAGATGACTGGAAACTGCACGAACTGCAAATATGTATTTGTAGAATAAAATTTAAATTAAAAAAAAACCCACATGATTTTAAAGCTAGACAGGATCTCTAAAATTCTTCATTTAATAATTTTGTTTTATAGATATGGAAACAGAAGCATAGAAAAGGCGAGTTGTCTAAAACCATTTGTACAGTTAATGATGGGGAACAAATGAGCTCCCCAAAGTTGTGCGCAGGTGGAGATGCCAACTCTTTGGGGAAGAATAGGTGTCTTTTACTAGACCATATTTAGGTACAGCTCTCCCACTCTGTGGGCTCTGAACCTGCTACTGTGGACAGAAAAAAACATTGTCCCTGTATTAACAATGTACAGACATTTTTTCTTGTCATTATCTTTTCTTTGTTTGAGACAGGGTCTATATGATTCAGGCTGGCCTTGAATTCACTATGTATTCTGGCTGACCTCGAACTCATGGTGATCCTCCTGCCTCAGCCTACGGATTACAGGCCTGTACCACCATGCCTGGCTCTTGTCATTATCTCTTAAAGCTACAATCTAACAATTATTTACATAACATTTACATTATATTAGGTTTTCTAGGGCTGGTTTAAGGAATGATTCTATGGAGCATTTTCTCTCCTGGTACCCACAGAGGTCCAAACCAGTCCTCCTGAGTTATGGAAGGAGATAGAACAGTGACTGCAGGGAGGCCTCACTGTGCCTGGCTGCAAAGCTATGACCCTGCCCGCACATGCACTCTTTCTCTTACTTCAGTGTCTTTCAACTAGGGACTCTGGAACTCAGCCTAATGGTTTCAGGGAAGTCAGCAAGGACACCCCCCGTTCATAAGCCTAGTTTGGGTTGCTGCGTGTTTTGAAGCCACAGGTGACTTTCTGGTTCACCCAGTCTCAGTAGCTAAGCAATCTACCACGACAGGGAGTCAAAATGCAGGAAAACCCCGAAAGTCACTTGCTCATGGTGTGGGACATTTCTTTCTGAAATCGTTTTACATTCCTGATTGGGCCGGGGAAGGCAGTGTGGGATCCTGCTGTGTGGCAGAAGAAAGCAAGACAAACTGCGAACATGCAGTAGGCTCGTCTCGTCACGTGCAGATGTGCTTCCAGACTGCTGGCTTCTGCAGTGCTAGTGAAAAGGGCTAATTCTGAAGGATTAAAGAAAATTACAATACTCAGAACAGGGGGGGACATGCTGGTAAAAGGTGGGAAGCTGGTGTCTTTTTCTGGAAGGTAATTCAGCAGCATGCTTCTAGAATGAAAGATGCTCAAATACTTTGATATAATTCCAGCAAATGAGCCTAGAAAATCATGTGGCACACTACCAAGGAGGCAATCACAAAAATAGTCTTTGCAACACAATTTCTAATTGTAGAAAGCTGGGAACGATGTCAATACCAGATATTAGCGGATTGTCTCCACAGACTGTGAGAAATGATTAGATGTGTCATCTCATAAGGAAGCGTATTCTACAGTCATTAAAAAGCTCTCACAGCGCTCAGGAAGTGGAGACAACAGGATTGTGAGTTTGAGGCCAGCCTAGGCTGGGTGACAGAGTAAGACCCTGTCTCAAGGGAAAAACAACAACAAACTAGCCTTATAAGCACCATCTTTTTATTTTCTTTAGTTTCCTGACACAGGATCTCTCTATGAAGCCCAGGCTGGCATCGAATTTGTGATCTTCTTGCCCCAGCCTTCTGAGTACTGGGATGACAGGCATGTGTCATCTGGCTTACAAGCTTCATCTTTAATGACATAGGAACACTTGAATTTCACAGGAGAAATAAATTAATTAAGGTAACAGTAGATATAGTGATGAATCTGAAAGCAAAAAGCATAAAGATAATAAAACTGCTTGATCAACTATTCTCTTAAATGACTAACAATTCACAAGTCTTTCTGACAAGTCTGAATAAGAGGAAAAAATGAAAAAGCAAATATACAATCTAGGAATGTGGAAAGATTAAAATAAGATAGAGAAGATTTTAAAGATAAGAAACTATCATGTGTATCCGATGTCAATTTTTAAAGTTGAATGAAATGATTATCTAGGAAAACAAATTGACTTAAAAGCTGTACAAAAATCTAAAGAGAAGCAGGGCGTGGCCACGCACTCCTGTAATCCTAGCACTTGGGAGGCTGAGGCAGAAGGACTTCCATGAGTTAAAGGGCAGCCTGGGCTACAGAGTGAGTTTGAGGCCAGCCTGAATTACATAGTAAGACCTTATCTCAAATAAACAAACAAAAAAGCCTTAAAAATATAAAGGCCAATCAACACAGAAACATGTCACAGTTCCCAAAGATCCTCTATCTCACTCCTCCCACAAATTCCAGAAGCTACCACATGCAGACAGATTTATAATTGAATTTTTCCAAGCCATTAAGGAACAGATAATTCATGCATTAAAAGTCTTCTGGAGCATAGAGAAAAGAAGAAAAATTTCAAGATTATCATGTAAAACAACTCAGCTGAAAACATATAAGAAAAAACACTGCTACAGAACAATCCAATTTATGGATACAGATATAAAACTTACAAATAAACATTACCAACTGAATCCCATAGTATACTAGAAGAATTCAAGATGGCATTTATTTTAGGCAAGGTCAACAGGAGAATGCTTGGAGTATCTACATAGGCATTTGGTAAAGCTCAACATTCATAGCTGAGTGTGGTAGCACAAACCTGTAATCCCAACACTGAGGAGGCTGAGGCAAGAGGATTGCAAATCCAAACACAACCTGGCAAATGAACAATTTTGGGAAACCTTGTCTCAGAAAGGGAGCTGGGGGAGGAATGTAGCTCAGACTGAAGGTTCAACCACCAGTACAAACAAACAAACAGTACGCTCAAGGCCTAGTGAAAGACAAAGATGATCCAAGTAACTGACAGCTATACCACACGAAGGGTGAGCATTGTGAAGACACCAACCCCTTCCAATTTATCTATAAATTCACCGTCATTTCAATTAAGACAGTGAGAAGCCATACAGGAGCTACAGGAGAAGTGGAGAATACACAGATAGATTAAGGGGCACAAGCAGATTTACCATCTGATAACGGCGAGTGGAAAACTACAACTGAGATTCTTTTCTCTTTATTTTGTGGTAATAGACCTTCTCACTAAGTTACATGCCCAGCTGGTTTTAATTTTTAGTTTGAGCTAGGGTCTCACTAAACGTTCAGGAGGGATTCAAATTGGTAACTTTCCCACCTCAGCCTCCCGGGGTACTGGGATTGCAGTGTGCACCACCTGCTAGATTTACCTCTTGAATAAATGCTGTTAAAATAACTGCTGACTCATTTTGTTAGACTTTTTCTGTGACAAAAATAAATTCCGTATTGATAAATGCGTAGCCAAAAACACAAGAGTTCTGTAAACCATATGGGGAGGGACTACAAATTTAACAACATAAAATTAAAACACTTTCATATGGGTAAAGTTATTATGGATAAATTGAGAAAAATATTTACATGTCACCGAAGGAGAGGTTAATAGCCATAAGAAATAAAACTACAAATCAATAAAAGAAACACAAACCAAAACATGAATAGAACAAACAAAATTCACAAAGGAAATAAAAGCCTACACTCCCCAAAGAAATTTAATTTTTTGTTGTTGCTGTTGTTGGTACCAGGGATCGAACTCAGGACCTTGTGTGGCAGGTGGTGGAACCACTGAGCTAAATCACCTGCCCTCCCCAAAGAAATTTAAAGTTAAATGATAAAGTGTTATTTTTTACCTTCCTAGACCTAAAAAAGCTGATACTATCCAATCTTGGCAAAAGGCTGAAAAAACGCTCTCTTGTATCTTTCGGAATACAGATTGGTTTAGCATTTCTGGAAGATAACTTAGAAATGGGGCGGGGGGAGATGTAAAAAGAACTGAGAGAAGTTATGTGCAGGGACTAACTGCCCACAATGGATATGATCACTGTGTACTACAAACAGGCACTAATAAAGTAGATTTTAAAAGTAGGGCAAGAAAGAGAAGTAAAAAATAAAGGCAAAAAAAAAATTAGAATCTTAACTCTAATTTTTTTTTTGTATGGGGCTTGCAAGGCAGGTGGCAGTACCACTGAGCTAAATCCCTGACCCTAGAATCTTAACCCTAAAAAGAAAGAAAAAAAAAGATGTGAAGAGGAGAAAGAGAGAAGCTGGAACACGAACCATTAGCGTCCGGGCCACGTGACAGCCCAGGGTACCCGCTCCCAGCAGCAGGCACTTGGCAGACACAATCCTATCCAGGTCCAGCGTTGGGACCAGCCTCCAACACATGAGTTTGAGGTTCAGATCCACTGACGACTCAGCTAACCTGGGAAGGAGGGACTGGTTAGTTCAGTGGGCAGCTCAACTGCACTGACCCTGTCCTAAAGGATAGAGAGCAGCTA